TTATCTGTTGACGGTACTGTGTATGGTAACAATATCTTCAAAGGAACCAATGTACAGTGTATTCATAATGGGAAAATTCATTTGGTATGCTGTAGTAGTAGGAGGTAAAAAAAAGAACGAATATATGTAGATACATACATAAAAGAGTCTTTTGTAATAAATACTTTTTTTAAAAGATGGCAATGAAGAGATTTATGCAAAAATGTGTAATGTAAGGAAAACATGTGGACTTTAGATTCTTGTCTGGATTAAATTTCCAGATATATAAAGACATATGCTGTGAAATAACTTGTTAAGCACTTAGAGAAGGAAACAGAAATCATCCCCCATCCCCAACAGGAGGAATGGCCACATCACAATCTCTTCTCCTCCATCCTCCTCTTGGGATTTTGGGCACATATACACACTTGCCTGCTATGTTTTTCAAGCCACTGGGGCTGGAGCTCAAACTGCATAGTCAGTCATGTGGGATCCAGTGTCTGTGTCTTAATTACCACATCATCTGCTGGCCCAATGGCTGAGATAATCAATACAGTGTTTAACATTCTTTTTTTTTTTTTTTTTTGCAATACAATGTTTTTATTATCCAAAGAAAATAAAAAATGAAAGACTTTTATTTTTATTTTTAATTGATCACCATTTTCTGTATGATACACAACTGCCTAGAATCACTAGGATTTATAAAGAAATTCCAAAAACTAGTATATATTGTAAAAGTTTTACAATGTTTGAAATTTCTCAATGGTGGAAAGGTGAGATAGGAAAAAGTACAAAATAATTTAAGGCATCCTAAATTGTACTTATGGTGCAGTTTCCAGAGAAGTGTCAAAAATGAGAATTCTACAGCACAGGGAGAGGACAGTCAGGGAAGGAAAAGGGATGGTCTCAGAGGAAGGCATGGGGGCAGTTGCCAGGGACAGGCTCATTTTGTCACATGTCGTTTGAAATTGCTTCACTTTATAAAAAGGGCTTGTACCACACATTAAAGGTAAGGCTTAAATATTTCAGTAGGAAAGAGCAGGACTGAGTTCAAAAAGCAGGGCTGGGAAAGAGCCTAGGAAAGGATGCACACTGGAAGAGTTACTTTCAATAACAACAACCAACTACCACATAAATATGCGCATTGCTTGGAAACAATGATAATAATAAATTCAAAACCAAACTCTCAGTATGTAATTCCTCCACAAAGGTCCTTTGTATCCTGCGCACTACAGCATACTTTCTGAGTTACTGTTCTTTTTAAGTATTCAGTATGTAGATGAGTATCCGAAGAAATCAACTTTTCACAAAATAATTAACCTTTCTTTTTAAAAAATGAAAAAAAAAATAATTTTAATATATTTTAACCAATCATATTAGGGAAAAAAACTATTAAAAATTTTAGGGAGTGTTTTAATAGTTCAAGGAAATATAGAATTTTATATGCTCTTAGTATATATTAAATTTACAGCTCCTCAGGGGCGAACAGGTGATGTGATGGTTAAAATGCTGGACTCTCACATGGCTGACTACAGTTTAGGTTCCAGATCAGGTGGCTTGCTTTTTCACTTTCTCTATTTTCTATCTCTGATGAGTGCATGTGCCCTATAGCAAATTTTAAATTAATAGTAATAAAGAAAATTAAATAATTAAAAATAATTATAGCTCCTTATACCTGTTGACTAACCACTTCTAGAAATTTATCCTAAGAAGAAAAATCATGGGCCAGCAAGTGGTGTGGTGGTTAAGGCATTGAATCCCATGTGGCTGACTCCATGCTTTGAGTCCCAGACCAGGCAGTTGAAAAGCACACAGGATGCATGTATGTGCATGTCCAAAATCCCATAAGGAGAATGGAGGGGAAAGAATATGGCACAGCCATCACTCTTGGGGGGTGATCTCTCACATTCCTTTTCTCTGTCTCTCTCTCTCTCTCTTCAGTAAGTGCGCATACCCTATAACAAAAAAAAAGTGTATTAAGAAATGTATGTCCAAGAATCTTTGCTGTAGTATTTTACTTACTATTAAACTGTGATAACCCTATAAATCAGTGGTTTCCCAACCTTTCTGACACCAAGGACCTGCTTTGTGGAGGGCAATTATTCCACAGATGAGGTTAGGGGACAAGGTGGTTTATGAGAGCACACAACCTAGAACCCTCATATACATAGTTCATGGTATGGTTTATGCTCCTATGAGAACCTAATACTTTCACTCATCTGACAAGGGGCAGAATTCAGGCAGTAATGAGAGTGATGGGGAGTGACTGTAAATACAGATGAAGCTTTGCTCACTTGCCCCCTGCATACAAACTGCCATGAACTTCCATAATTAAATGTTCACCTCCTGCTGTATGGCCAGTTCTTTTTTTTTTTTTTTTTTTTTAAGGATATATACCAGCAAGTTGGATTTTTTAAATTTATTTTTTACTTATTATCATCATAATCTTGTTTATATTACATTGACTTGCTTATAACTTTACAGTGTATTACAGTGCTTCTTCAAAAGGGAATGCCATGCATGTCAGTCAATACAGACACATTAAAACCCCCATTTCATCATTCATTATCTTTTCATTGTTTTTCCTATTCATTATTATAATTATTCTAATTATATTTTTAACCAGTCAATCACTATTTCTCATTTTGCTTGTAAAAAGACTTTACCCATCATGAAATACTTCTCAGACCCATCCTGTTGAGAATACTATACATGTCATCATCAACAGGTAATAAGCCATATCTATGTCCCACTAATGTCATGCCTCTCTATTTGTTCTCTTGCTATCTTTCTCTATCCTCTTCTCTTCAGCCCCCCATTCCACACTGTCTTATTCTTCTTTAGTATTTTCACTGCTTTTATGTCCTCCAATATTTCGCTCTCTACCATAGAGTATGGATAGTTGGTATATATTAAGTGGATACATACAATATCTTTCTTTCATAGCCTGGCTTACTTCACTCAGCAACATATCCTCCATATCTGACCACTTTATATCAAATGCCAGGGTATTGCTATTTTTTATGGCTGAATAGTATCCCATAGAGTATGTATGTATGGCCAGATCTTAACAGGCAACAAAACTGGTTGGTGACCTGGGGGTTGGGGATGCTAACCTCAATGACCATCAATAGGCAACTAGCTAATTCGTAGCAGATAAATAAAATAGAGTATTATTTAGTCATTAAAATGATTATGTAGTTCTCTACTGATCAATGAGGAAAGATGAGCTGTGTGACACAGAGGCTTCCAGAATAGTATCTCACAAAATCGTTCATATGAAATGATATGTTTGTATTTAGGAAAGTAGAGACTAATATTGTAATGATGAATACATCTGGATTGTGTAATTTAGGTGACTTACTTTCTTTATAGTTTATAAATTTATTATTAATATGATTACAATTAGAATGCAATCTTTTACTATAATAAAAAAATGGGACTAGGGAGAAGTGTTCACATGTTGAAATATTCAGTTTGTAAGCTAAATAATGTGATTGAATGTAAAAGAGAAAATAAAATTTAGAAAATTGTAAAAAGAAAATTTTTAAAAGAAGTTGAAAAAAACTTTAATTTCATTTTGGAATGGGGAATTGATGAAAATTCTGTGGAATAAGAAGTAGCCAACTTGTGAAAACGAGCCCCAAAGTTGTCAACCCTATTGCATTCACTGCCTTTTCTTGAGGCAGATTCTGGTGCTACTACTGGGCCATAGAACCAGCACTTGACTTTTAAGTAGAGGTTACAGGAAAAACAAGTATAGTTTATCCTGTATCTAGACATTGTTCTAGACTTCTTTCACTGTTAGATTGTGAGTTTTTCTCTTTTTAGAGAGAGATTTTTGCTATAGCACATGTGCATTCACCAGGGAGACAGAGACAGAAAGAGAGAAATCATCCCCTAGGAGGATGGCCATGCCACAATCCTTTCTCCTCCATTCTCCTCTTGCGGTCTTGGGCATGTACACGCGTGTGACTAGAATGAGTTTTAAGCCACCAGGTCCAACGCTCGAATCATGGTTGACTATGTGGGAGTCCAGCAATGTAACCATTATGCCATCTGCTGGTCCAGTGAGCTTTTCATGGCCTGGAAAAATGTCTTACTAATTTTTCCTGTCTCAAAAATCTAGCGCTGACACAAAGTAAGCAGTTAATATGTAGAACAAGACTAAAATGTATTACCATTCTTTATTTTGGAATTATAAAAATGGATTGGAGGAAATTTCTGACCAAAAACTGTCCGTAGGGTTGTGACTTTCATGTTAAAGATACTACTTTCAGCAAAAGGATGCTCTAGGAACATTTTGGCAATCTTTCTATCATTTGAATTTACTTATTCAAATGTGTTGTATCTTGGTATCCTAATCTTTTCATCAATCTAATAAGATTAATTTTATTATCATTTGCCAAGAGCAAAATTGATTTTGTATTAGTGTTTCTTATATTAATTTAAAGACATTACAATGTCCAGACACATAGTCAGCCACTTACTACAACTTAATGTTGGTGTGGATAACGTCAGAATGATTTCAGTCTTCTTAGTGTCCTGCCACCCCAGTGACTTTTTTATCCAAGTACCTAAGGGGGAGCTTAGACACTGTTGCAATCATCTTAGATTAAATTATTTGCTCACAGCACATCACTTACTGTTGCTGTCTTTTGTGAATAAGTGCACACACACACACACACATGCACACACACACACACACACACACACACACACAAATCTAGCACAAATTCTTTTTGCTATGATAAGTACACTACTATAGAAGAACAGCTGGATGAAACATTTCAAAAGTCGTGGAACTGATGTGAAGTAATTGCTCCTGACTCTATCAGTTCATTTCTTCCCAGAGCAAGCTATTTAGTGTCACATTTAGGTGACAATTAAACAAATAGGATTACTGATATCAGTGATTAGTAGTAGTGACAATATCAACAACAGTGTTCTTTCATATTGTGCACTTAATGATTCCTAGGTTCAAGTTAAGTAAACCTGCAACTCTGAGTCATTTCCATTACCTTGACCAGATGAGAGTTGATCCATTTTGTGAAAGTGCGTTTTTGTACAATTTCTTGCTCATCTAGAAGAAAAAAAAAATTGTCCAGTTATATAACAATATGTCATGAAGTTGCACTATGAAAAATGTTCATAGTTATATCACTCTAGAAGGATTCATAAGATGAGTTTACTTTCTAACTCATTTTTTTTTAGGTTTTTGCCATAGGGCATGTGCACTCTCCAGACAGAGAGAGAGAGAGAGACAGACAGACAGACAGAAAACAACAAATGAACCCCCAGGGGGATGGCCACGCCTCAATCCCTTCTTCTCCATTCTCATCTTGGGATCTTGGGCATGCATACACACACACCCGGTGTGAGTTTTAAGCCACCGGGTCCGGGACATGAACCATGGTTGACTACATGAAAGTCCAGTGACATAGCCATTACACTAACTGCTGGTCCCCTTTCTAACTCATTTTTGCCAACCCTTCCTTAAAAGAAGGATTGATACAAACCCTAGCACATGAATTAATATGACAATCTATTTAAAAATTATCAGCAAGTGCTTTAAAATTGGCAATATCTTAGCCCTGTGTTTACTTTAATATACTTAAAAGTTCACTGATGAATTATACCTCAATATATCTGCTAAGAATTAAAGTTCAAATCTGAGTGCAGCAGCATGCACCTGTAATCCCAGTTACTCAGGAAGCTGAAGCAAAAACTGATGAGTTTGGGGTCAGCATGGGCAGCATAGTAAGACTCTGTATATTAAATAAATAAATAATAGATAAAAAGAAAAAATAAATAATTAAAAGTTCACTGAGCCAACTCAATGCCAAGGTTACACTGCCCAGAAAGATGTGAAGGTGGAACTGAGTGATAAACAAGCCTGTGAGTAGTAGAGGGTTACACAGTAATGCACTGAGCTAGAGCTCTAGACGTGAGACATTACAGGGATTTGACCAGATGGAGAGAGTGGTGAATAAACCCTAAGACGACCTCCAAAACTTCCCACCTCCTGAGCCCCCACTTCGGTATAGGTAGAGCACAGACAGAACCTGAACTTCCTTCTGGCTGATAGACTATGACAAAAGTAATGAGGTGAGACATCTATGCTTGTGTTACTGTAGGTTATTCCAACTTAGCTGACTAGAGAGATAGGTCCTCCTGCTGGCCTTGAAGAACCTAACAGTTGGGCAGTAAACTGTATATGGAGAGGGCTAATAACAGGGAACTATGAGCTCCCTTCAGGAATGAACAGTGGCCTTCAACCAACATCCAGTAAGAAGCTGATATCCTGGTCATATGGCCACAGGGAATGAATTCTTCTAACAATATGAATGAGTCCAAGATGAGAATGTGACTCACCAGCTGATACATTAATTATAGGTGTCATCAAGTTGATACCTTGTGAGACCCTGAGCATGTGACATGGCTAAGCTGTGCATGTACTTTTGACCCACAAAAATTTATAGGTAATAAATACATGCGTTTCAAACTGCAAAGTTTATGGCAATTTGTTGTAAAACACATTAATATGGAAGTATTAAGTAATATGGGAAATTATGAGCAAATTAATATGGGAATAAAGAGGTAGAGCTCAGTATGGCTTAAATTACAGGTCTAAAGAAATCAAGAGCAGAGGACATCCTTTTCTGTTTATTCTGCTAACATCTGCTGAGTGTCAGCTCTTTGTGAAACACAGGACTAGATACTGCAGGGGGTACCGACAAACAAGTCATAATTTCAACTCTTCACCTTTCCATGGATGGTACCAACATCCACATCTCTACCTGACCTTCCCTGGGCTTTAGCGCAGAGCATTTGACTACCTAATTGAATGTGAACCTTATAAGGACAGCAATTTTATCCCTAGTGCCTACCAATGTGACAAATAAGAATAAATAAATGGGGATTGGCAGGTGGCATGGTTGTTAAGGTGCTAGACTCCCACATGCAGACTGCAGTTCAAGTCCCCGGACCTGCCGACTTGCTTTTTCCCTTTCCCTTTCTCTCTCTGTCTCCCTTTGGTCAACTAAAAAATAATAATAACAAATAAAATTAAATGAATAAATTATTATTTTATAGAAGAATAAATAAATGAAGAAAATAAACAACAAAATCTTTTAATTTGGAGAAACTTTGGATATATTCATACAATTATATAATGCCATTATTCTAATATATTTTACACATACTTTTTTGTTTCACTTTTTTGTTTCGAATATATATCCAAAACAAACCTGATTATGGTAGGCAAGATTTTCTATACACCAGGTAGAGATATTCTGTAACTATTGGTAGATATTATGTTTTAATTAATTAACTATTATTTAACTATTATATATCATATATATGTACTCATTCATTTAATTCTTACAACAAATCTCTAATCAGGAATTACAATGATACATATTTTACAGAAAATATGATCAAAACATATAAAGTTAAGTATCTTTACTAAGGTCACTCATGGCAGAAGCAAGTTTTAGACTACAGAGTTTTTATCCCTATGCCGTTATATTGTTGCTCAAGGGTAGACTAAAAATGACTACATTTGTCATATCAAATATTAATCTCATGAAAATGATAAATTTATAGTTCAATCAACTTGAGTTTGACCTTAAAATCTTTATATTCTATAAATAAAATCACATAGCAGCAAAATGACCTTAACCAATCAAACCAGGTTTGATAGACTTAGGAACGTTATAATATATAAAATCAAATTCTAAATCTAAATTAGTACAATTGAGTATGTATAAAAGTAATTTATAAATTTAGTTAACACATTTTGTAGTTCAGAGCTCAGTAAGGTTTGTCTATAAGAGGTCTTCAAAATTTTAATGGAAAATGTGTATTATGAAAAATTGCACATGGATTTCAATTTTTTTGCACCAAAATAAAATGCTTTAATTTCATTTTCTGTAAACTCTCTGAAGTCCTCTCACATATTCCACAAATAAACCAAGTCCTTTAGTTCTAAGAATCACAGAGAACGAGAAGCAGTTTTATTCCCTAATTTCTATTAATTCAATGTTAAAACCCAAATGGTTTTGAAGTCAGATTATCCTGGATCTGTTCTTTCTTGTCTACAACACTGAATCATAAGAACATCTATCAGTTTTACTTCCTAAAGAGCTTGCCTTGACTAATATATGTCTAACTCAAGTTGCCATTAGTTTCTGAACACCTGTTCATTCCTAGCTCTGGAATCTAAGTTCGAGAGCAGAAGGAAAGCTGCAGGCAGAGAAGGTAGTGAATCTTCTCAGGAAAAGAGACAGCCATTCAAAAAGCATGGTATGATATATTAAAGTGAAAGAGAAAATATGTAAGGACTGCATTATAAAGTAGAGTGGGAGTAAAAAATGAGCTGGAGGTGAGTTGGAAAAATAGGCAATAAGCAGGTTATTAAATACTTTCTATGACAGACCAAGGAGTTTGGTTTCTATCTGATGGTTATTCAAATTTCTATGGTTTGAATGAGACAATGACCTGATCATATCAGACCTGAGGAAATGAAGACAGCACTGAGGTTTAATTGAAGGGAAAAGAGACTGAGGGCAGGCATATTTGGGAAAATAGAACACATGTCAAAGGTGGTTAATTCTCTTCTGGGACAATGTCAACTGGGAAAGATGAACAAAATGGCTGGAGGGAACTATCAGAAGTAAAACCCAAAGAAGAAGGGACAAGAACTAAGGGTACTTTCTAGAAGACTTTGGAACCACGATTTTGTGTGGCTTAAGACTCCTTGAAAAAGCATCCCCAAAGTGGCTGGGAAAACTATGCTATGAAACAGATGCTGCAGAGAGAAGAAACTGCATGGGGTCCAATCTGAGACCAGTTTTTGGTCCAAGCAAGTATTACTTAATAGATGTTGTTCAAGTCTTCCTATAACCTGAATTTTTTTTTTTTTTTGGAGAGGTTTTCGCTATAGGCCGCATGCACTCGCCAGAAAGACAGAGACAGAGAGACAGAAAGTGAGAAATCACCCCCCAGGGGGGATGGCCACGCTGCAATCCCTTCTCCAACATTCTCCTCCCGGGATCTTGGGCACACATGCACAAGCACCCGCAGTGAGTTTAAGCCACCGGGTCTGGGACTCGAACCGTGGTCGACTACATGGGAGTCCAGCGACATAGCCATTACGCTAACTGCTGGTCTCCCTATAACCTGAACTTTGATTAATTTCCAAGGGCCAGATTTTAAAGTTAAAAACAACCACAAACAATTTATGGGAACTCTCAAGGCCCTCCACCCTCGAAACTTTCATCACTGGTTCTGTTTCAAAAGCAGTTGACCCTATGTACGCCATAAGTTGGAGGCTGCTAAAACTCAAGATCCATGAAGGAAGGTTATGACAGGACATGGGCCTGGTGAATGTTGCTATATGAAATCATTCCCAAATCCAAGGCAATGTCTCTCTAGAAATGAGTGAAAATAAAGGAAATGGACTCAAATATTTAGTTTCTGTACTTCTTTTTTTGCCCACCATTCCTTAGTGCTTTGTCATTTGGGGACAAGATTATGACATGTGACAAATGCACAAATGAACCCAATTTAGCAAGGGTGTTTACACTTGACCATGAAGGAGTTACCACGCTGACTATAATCAACAGCTTTCTCAGTGGCATGTCTTATTAACAGTGACTGGATGGTATCCCCAATTGTGTTTTATTCTAGGTAACTTCTGCATGCATCTGTACTCACACATGTGTCCAAAATTTGTTTCAAACTGTAGGTTTTGGGGGCATGGAAAGAGCTCCAAATAGATTTTAAGGAAGCCAGCTTTGTCCTAAAGGGACAGGATGGTTCAAAACAATTGGAAAACTTTGGAACCATGACTTTGTGAGGCTAGGAAGAAGACTACAAAAAGGATCAATCAGAACCATGAGCCATTATTTATCATAATGACAAGCAATATCCTTTACCTCTGAATTAAAGGAGTAGCCATGTGTGCCTGACTGGAATTCAGAATACTTAGCCCTGTAATTGCAACCTCCTCTCCATTCTCTCCATTTTGGAACAGAAGCATCTCTAGCAATGACCCTGGTCCTATCTCATTATTGCATA